CTTTTGTGGTTCAATATACATTTAGGATTGTCTGCTCTATTTCTATGAAAAATGCCATTGGAATTTTAATAGAGATTGAATTAAATCTGTATATTACTTTGGGTAGTACAGACATTTTAATGATATTCATTCTTCCAACCCATAAGCATGGAGCATCTCTCCACTTATTTGTATCTTCTTCATTTTATTTCCAAAATATCTTACAGTTTTCAGTACACAGATTTTTCACCTCCTCAGTTAAATTTATTCCTAGATATTTTTTCTGATGCAATTGTAAACAGAACTGTTTTCTTAATTTCTCTTTGATAGTTCATTAGTGTATAGAAATGCAACAGATTTTTGCATATTGATTTTATATCCTACAACATTACTGAAATCATTTATTAGTTCTAAAAGTTTTTTATGGAGTCTTCATGGTTTCCTATAGATAATATCACATCTTCTGCAAATAGTGACAGCTTTGATTTTTCCTTTCCAATTTGGATGCCTTTTATTTCTTTTTCTTGTCTAATTGCTGTGGCTAGTGCTTTCAATATCATGTTGAAAAAAAGTGGCAAGAGTGGGCATCCTTGTCCTATTCCTAATCTTAGAGAAAAAGCTTTTGGCTTTTCACCATTGAGTATGATGTTATTAGCCGTGAGTGTAAAATCTTTTTAACTTTACACTTTGAAATTTTTTATAATAAAATATTATAAGGCAGAGAATTTAAAAAAATTACCTGAGGTGTTTCTGAAAATGCCCAGGCTGATGGCAGTCTAGTGGGTAGACCATGCCACCCCAAGAAAGCTCCCATAGCAGCACAGTAGACAACACTATGAACCATCTTTCTGTAACATGAGACATCACCCAAAAGATGAAGCACCCTCTGGAAAGAAGCACATCTACCAGGTAGACAGGGAGTACGGGAGCCTACTTAAATAAAGGACATGAAGATCAGGGGCCAAGGGTGGTGGTGGTGCTGAGGCAGGCATTGAAGGAGAGGTAGCAGAGCCATAAATCCCGTGGAAAGAGCACACACAGGCCTTTCTCTTGTGAGTAATAACTCTAGCTCTAAAATTCGTTAGTCCCATGACTTGGGTAACTTACATAAGCCTCAATTTCCTCATTTCTGAAAGCAAAACACATTTGTTGCCTACTTTATGGTTCTGGCTATGATTGGCTCAGCTGCCCACATTTATCCACATTTAACCGATTTCACTGGGCTTTGAGAATGCTTGTGTGTAGCTGAGATCCTCTGCTCAGCAGTCCTCTACTGATCCATCCTTGTAAGAATGGTAGAGTGGGAGGAGATAGAATAATTTGTCCCACTCTCCCCTATAACCCTCTTAGGGCTCATTCTTGATCATGGTATCTTCCCTGCCAGGTAAGTATCTTAGGGCGCATTCTTCTCCTAGTTCATCCTGTTCATTCTTTGGGTCTCAATGAAATGTCATTTCCTCAAGGAAGCCATCCTAGGTCTTCCCATTAGACATCTTCACAGCACCCTTTACTTCTCCCTTGAAACAGTTAAGATAGCTCTACTTTGAGAATTATTTCTAATTAATTGCACAGAAGGCAGGAAACTATCTTGCACACTGTCTACAATGTCTAGGACAAAACCTGACATATGGCAGTTGATCATTAAATGGATGATTATTTTTTTAAAAAGAACTATTTAATTGTCCAAAAATAAAACATACAGTTAAATGATTTACAGGACATTCATAAGATGGAATGTTATATAGTCATTCAAAATTACAGGTAAAAATAAAAAAATTTTATATATACAGGTAGATGTCTAGATATACATATAGATACACAAACAGGAAAAAAGACAACAAAAGACACCAACTTGTTAGCAAGGATTATATTTGGATAGAAGGGTGATCTTTACTTTTTCCTGCACATTTTTACATTTTCCAAATTTCCTACAATAAACATGAATTACATTTATAATAAAATGTATTTCTTTTCATTTTGTTTAATGTTTATTTTTGAGAGAGAGACAGAGCACGAGCAGGGGAGGAGCAGGGAGAGAGGGACACACACAGATCTGAAGCAGGCTTCAGGATTTGAGCTGTCAGCACAGAGCCCAACTTGGGACTCAAACTCACAAGCTATAAAATCATGACCTGAGCAGAAGTCAGACACTCAACCAACTGAGCCACCCAGGCACCCAAATAAAATGTATTTCTTAAAGAGAATAATTCCTTCACTCAGTATTTCTTCAATTTAATCAGAGCTGCTGAGATAGATTATTTACAAGGGTATTCCTGGGAACATTACAGAGAACGGCAAAAGCATATAAAAATTTTACATACACCGAAGAGAGAATAAATTATATCATCCATACTCTGAAATACATCTAGCAGTTTTCAAAAACAATGTTGTATATGAATATTTAATAACCTTAAAAAAAAAGGCTTACAGACAGAGTAAAGAAACAGGAAGGAATTATTAACGCTGAAATATGCCATTTGGGTGTAAGGTTTCAACTTTTTTTGAGGAATTCTACTAACTCTTTCTCCCTCAGGCAAGATCTTGTCTCCTCAAATTGACCAGGACCAACTAGGATTTGCAGAGCCTCCTGCAATCCTGATGAACCTCAAGGGAAGGAGGCCTCCAGGTGATTCCATGGCCCTCTGTGAGGCTGGCCCTTGACCCAAGTCAGTTCTCCTTCCAGTCCTGCAGTTTGCTAGTTTGGTCTGATCTTACTTAATCCTGTGCACCTCTTGCATAGTTTCCAGTGATTTCTTCTTTTTTTACTGTGGTTTTTTTCTCCCTTTTTTCCATGGAACAATTCAACTTTCTAAGCACTGAATATCTTAGGAAGGTCTTGTGAGTAATTTAGATACCTAAGTCACAAAAACACTGAATGTAAGCAGGTAGAAAACTATGGTACAGAGCAATTAATGAAAGTACACTGCCCTCTTATATCTAATTTCAACTAATAATGTAATTATGTTCATTTTAATAGAATTTCTTACTGTTTTTTCATAAACAGATGTTAATTCAGGAACTCAGGAATGCAAATTTTGTCCACTGAAATTAACTGAAAATTTCAAGGAATTTCACAAATTTCTAAAATGTCTTCTAAAGCAATATAAGTCTATATACATATCAAAATACTCATATCTATATTTAATTGTGTTTGTCAGTTACACCTCACTGGGGGAAAACAAATAAATAATAATGCCAAAAACAAAGGCAGAATTAATTTACAGTATTAACAGACAGGATAACCACAGGATAGTGGTTACTCTGACAGAACATAGGAGATAATGAATGTCTTATTTCAGAATGATGGCAATGTTCTATTTCTTAACCTGGGTAATGTTCACTTTGTGATACTTCACAGAGCTGTTCAGTTATGAAATGTTCACTTCACATTTGATGATGTTATACTTCAATAAAAATATTTTAAAAAGGGGCGCTTGGGTGGCTCAGTTGGTTGAGCATAGGACTTCGGCTCAAGACATGATCTGGCAATTCACGAGTTCAAGCTCCGCAGTGGGATCTGTGCTGACAGCTCAGAGTCTGAAGCCTGCTTCGGATTCTATCTCCCTCTCTCTCTGTCCCTCTCCCACTCATGCTCTGTCTCTCAAAAATAAATTTAAACTGTTAAAAAAAATTTAAGTTTTAAAAAGACTTAAACATATTCATATTTATCTTTCAGTAGTAGACTATTGTTTTTTGATTTTTAAATGATGACCATACATAAAGAGTCAGAAAATGTCAGCTGCCTACCTATCATTGCCCCTTTATTCCCTGCTAATAGAACTCTGATTTTACTCAAGTATCCAACCTGGACTTCTCTAAGGTTCTTTTAATTACAACAGCTTAATGCTTTGCCCCAGATAAACAAGAGCCCCAGTAAGGAAAAATCAAATGAAAAGCAAAGGGCAAGACTGAAAGAGTTTAACCAAGTATTATCATGTACATTAGCACATTATGACTCTATGAGTTTGTTTTATTCTTACCATTCTAATTTAGAAATAAACTAAAATCTGAAGTTAAGAGAGTCATCTAAAGTGGCAGACCCTGGAACTGAACTTTTGTTTCTTCATTCAAACCTCTACCATGGATTCACTAACACATGCTACTCTTCTAGATAGTAAACTATAATCTGTCTTTGTTAAAATTCCATGCAAAGACCTAATCTTATAGCCTTGCTCACCTATACACATTTTTGCTTGATCACAACTTCCCCCTTTACTCTGTTACCTATCTGGTGTTTACCAAAGGGCTTCAGAAGAGTGGGTTGAATATAACAGACTCAGGCTTTGCCCAAAACAAACAGGAGCTCTGGGCAAGGAAGAGCCAAAGATCAGCAAGAAATAAAGAAATAACCGCCCCTCTTCCTATCCCTGGGGTTTTGTAGCTTAACGTCTTCAAAACCCCGAGGAGATTCTGCAGCACTTCGTAAAAGCAAACTTGCCACTGACTACCTAAGAGGTCTCCTAGGGTTAGGATACTCATCCCTTTTGCCGCTATGGCAGTTGACTCTTCTTTTCCATTTACCTCTCACTTCTAAGAGTATCCGGAAATGTTTCTGTTTATCTCTGCAACCAGCGCAGCCCGGAGGGCAAGAGTAAAAGGCCCTTTCAAAGGGTTGGTAAACAGTCCCACCCCGGGACAGGTACGTGATCCTATTATGACCAGAGCATGCACCACTGTATGTTAAGGATACTGCGATGAAAACCCATTATCGCTACAGAATGAGAGCAAACAAAGCATCGCCACACCGTCATCCTGGCCCGAGGGCAGGTTTATGTCCGCAGCCCGGCCAATGACAGTTCTGCACGGGACCCTAGGAAATTCCGCGGGCCCCGCCCACCACCCAATTTCAGGGAATACGGAAGGCTCTGGAGCAGCTCTACTTCCTCGACAGCCGCGAGCTCCGCCCACCCACCCGACAGGCCCACTCAAAGGTCGACTTCCTGTGAACGCCGAACCCGCCCACCGCCCTCAGGCCTAACCAGGAAGCCCCGCCCCCGCCCGCCAGCCAGTCCTGGGCGAACCTGGATGTGGCAGTCGCTCCCTCGGCGCAGACGCACCCAAGACTTAGTTTACTTTCGTTTCCGCGGCAAACTTCCCGAGGCCTGGATGAGGGACGAAGCAACGGTGGGAGAGTCCAGAATTACCTCGACGTCTCGACAGCCTCGCCGGGGCGGGCCGGGGGGCCGACGCCCGAGCCTGACGAGGGGGGAGGTTACCGGAGACAGAGCCGTCAGATTCGGGGAGGCCGGGCCGCGGAGTGGCTCGTCGCGCCCGGCGCCGTAGGCCCCACTGGTCCGCGCGTGTCGTGCCGCGCGGCCCGGGCTCCCTCGCCCCAGCGGGACAGCGGGCTCGCGCACCTGGAGACAGAGGCCCGCCAGGACCGCCGTGCTGCGTGAGTCTAGGTCCGGTGTCCGCGCCCTCTGCGTGTCGAGTGAGTGCCCTGGGACCAGCGAGAGGGCGTGGACTGCTCGCTCCGCCCCCGCGGGCTCCGGAGCTGTGTAGGAGGAGAGCGCGCTCCCAGCAGCCAACGGGCCTTGGACCCAGATTTTATTTATTTTTTATTTTTTTAACGTTTATTCATTTTTGAGAGGCAGAAAGAGAGACAGAGCGTGAGTGGGGGAGAGGCAGAGAGAGGGAGACACAGAATCCAAGCAGGCTCCAGGCTCTGAGCTGTCAGCCCAGAGCCCGTTTTGGGGCTTGAACTCAAAGCCCTGAGATCGTGACCTGAGCTTAACTCGGATGCTTAACTGAGCCACCCAGTTGCCCCTGGACCCAGATTTTAAATCCTGGAGTTGTCACCCTGAGAATCTTGGCTTTACTGGGTTTTAAAGTCAGTGGGAGTCCAAAAGAGGAAATGTTACCTAGTCCTAGAAACCCTCCGGGGTGGGGCAGCTTGGCCTAAGGGTAAACACAACACCAAACCCTCCAACTTCACTCGCACCGCGGGTTCTTTGGCGGTGGCGCTACAACCTTAGGCAATTTACCGTTCTCTTATCTTCCTTCACGCGTGAAGTGGAAATAATAAAATCCTCTCTGTGGTGAAAGAAATGTGATACGTATCTTGCAGCCTTTTAGAATGGTGATTGTTAACGTCCCACGCAAAATGGGAAGTGCTATAGTGTTCTATTAGAAAGCAAATTATACATAGTGTGATTACATGTTGTAAAAAGATATCCAGTTGACCGTTTAACAAGGGTTTGAACTGTAAGGGTACCACTTAAAGGTGGAATTTTTTTCAATAAATACAGTAGAGTACAGTAAATGTACTTCCTCATGATATTTTGAACATTTCCATTTCCCTAGCTTATTGTAAGAATACAGTATATATAACACATAAAATATTATATATTATATATTATGTGTTAAATCAACTGTTAGTAAGGCTTCCAGTCAACGGTAGGTTGTTAGTAAGGTTTTGGGGGGAGTCAAGAGTTATATGTGGTTTTCAACTGTGTGGGGTTAGGGGTGGGTGCCCCTAATCTCTGCATTCATGGGCCAAATGCACACCTAAAGAGAACGGGAAGCCACAGATTGGGAGAAAGTATTTGCAAAGGACATCTGATAAAGGATTGTTATCCAAACTGTACTAAAAACTCAACAATAAAAGGAGCAATCCCATTAGAAAATGGGCAAAAGATCTGCACAGACACCTCACCATACAGATGGCAAATAAACATATGAAAAGGTCATCAACATTATAGGTCATTAGGGAATTGCAAATTTGAAACAATGAGATATCACTACCTACCTATTGGAATGGCTAAAATCTAAAACATTGACAATACATGTTGGTGAGGATGTCGTGTAACAGGAATCCTTGTTCATTGTTGCTGTGAGCACAAATTGGTACAGCCACTTAGGAAGAAAGTTGAGCATTAGAAAACTGAAAATAATCTTACCATATGATCCAGAAAACCCATGCCTTGGTATTTACCCAGCTAAGTTGAATGCTTATATCTACACAAAAATCTGACATGAATATTTATATCACATTTATTCCTAATTGCCAAATCTTGAAGGCAACCAAGATGTTCTTCTTGGTAGGTGAATGTGCAAAAACACTGGTCCATCTATACAATAGAATATTACTCAGCACTAAAACAAACAAAAAAAGCCATCAGGCTTTTTGAAAGCTCCATGAAAAGGCATAGAGGAGATGATGAGAAAAATGAGAGACTGAGTATAGTTAGGTCTTTAAAGAAATTTTTCAGAAAAGGTAATGAAATTAATAGAGCAGTCCCTTAGAGAAACAATTGTTCCATAAAAATGGGAACATTATCTGGTAAGGGTAATGATAGAGGTGTGTTCCAGGTTCCATGGCAACCAGAAAAAGTTCCACTTGAGATGATAATTCTATTCTAGAGCAAAAGAATCAGGAAAAACTTCACAAAGGAAGTCACATTTTAGGTTGAATCTTAAAATTTGAGTACAGAACTTCCTATTCTGGTTTTTACAGAACATTCAGAATGAATCCTTTTGAAAACAATTATTGAAAATGGACAAAATATATAAAATGACTTAAGACATTAGAGAGCTACTGTCCTTCCTTTTTCTCTGAGGGCATTTCTAATTCTGTGCAAAGGATAATAGAGCCTAAGCAGACAGTAGCAGTCTCACTGAGGACATCAGAGTTTGGAACATGGAGAGCAAAGTCTCAGAAAGGAGGGAACTATAAAAAACTGACCTCAACATTATCCATTGATATTACACTCCAGTGACTGGCTAATGACTAAACCACACATATGTAGGAACAGACTTCAAGAAACCTAGCAGGCAAGAGAAGACCAGAGACGAAGAGCTGAGCAGGATTTTCAGCAGCTTAAAACTATTAAGGAGATAGAGGTTAGAGTTCAAGTCTTGCCAAACTGAATGGGCGTCAGAAAATACCCTAGGCTTTCCATTTATATCTCCCAGAAGGTACAGTCACTAGGAGTCAGGCTATGCTTGCCAGCCTGCTCAGACTGCTGTAACAAAATAGTATAGACTAGGTAGCTGAAACAATGCACATTTATTTTCTCACTGTTCGGGAAGTTGGAAGTCAGATCAGCATGCCAGCATGGTTAGTTTCTGGTAAAGATCTCTCTTCTTGCATTGGTTGTGGCCACCATCTTGACTGCATGCTTGCATGACCTCTTCTTTGAGCACATATGGAAAGAAATCAAGCTCTATGGTGTCTCAGCTTATAAAGACACACATCACACCATGAAGATTCCATCCTCATGACCTATCTAGACCTCATTACTTCCAAAAGTCTCCATTGCTAAATACCATCAGATTAGATGTTAAGCCTTCAATATATGAATTTGGCATGGTGAATGTACAACTCAGTCTACAGCAATGCCCTTGAAGTAAGAACATGACCCAAGAAGCATTTCAAAATTGAAAGAATCCAGCTCAGGGGTGCCTGGAAGGCTCAGTCGGTTAAGTATCCAGCTCTTGATTTTGGCTCAGGTCATGATCTCTAAGTTCGTGAGACTAAGCTGCACATCGTTGTCAGTTCAGACCCTGCTTGGAATCTGCCCCCCCCAAAACAAATTAATAAACTTAAAAAAATAACAATCAAGCTCTAATAAAGCACAGCGTTAACCCACCTAAACTGGACCACAGGAATTTGCTGGTAAACTATGTGCTTGACAGAGGAAACAACAATTTTGGAAGGTAAACAACACTATTCTGTACCTCTACACTCTTTCATAATATCTGGCATCCAATAAAAATTTATGAAACATACGTTAAAAATAATAGAAATTCTCAAAATTCAGGAGGAAAAAACACAAGAGAAATGGCATGGTTCAGATTGAATAATCAGATAGGGACTTAAAATAATTCTGAGGGATGCCTCAGTGGCTCCACCGGTTAAGCATCTGGGTCTTGCTTTCAGACTCAAGTAATGATCTTGTGGTTCATGGGTATTAAGTCACACTTCGGGCTCCATGCTGACAAGCAGCGCCTGCATCGAATTCTTTCTTTCTCCCTCTCTCTCTACCTCTGCTCTGCTCTTTCTCTCTTTCAAAATAAATTTAAAAACTTTTAAAAATGATTAAACAAACTTGATGAAAAGATAAAGAATCACACCAAAATCTGAAAGCTATTTAAAGAAACCCGAACGGAGACTCTAGAACCTGAAAAACACATACTTGAAGAAATCAAGGATGGGTTTGATATTATATAAGAGCAAAGGATTAGGGAAGTGGAAGATAAGGCAGTAAAAAATACCCAGAGTGGAGAATAGAAGCGAAAATAGATAGAAATAGAATTTTTAAAAGGTGGGGCAGCAGGGAGTCCTGGGAGATTCAGTCAGTTAAGTGTCCAATTCCACTCAGGTCAGATCTCCCAGTTCGTGAGTTTGAGCTCCGCATCAGGCTCTGTGCTGACAGCTCAGAGCCTGAAGCCTGCTTCAGATTCTGCATCTCCCTCTCTCTCTGCCCCTTCCCCCCTCTCAAAAATAAATAAACATTTAAAAACAGTTAGGGAGGCCGAGAAGTAGGGAACTCTGTACATTGCACTCGCCCCCATATCTCGCACAGAGAAGACCTGAAGCCATAGGAACCCTTACAGAATCCAGGAGTTTGGGAAGAAAAAGAGGCAGAGTCCACTGAGAAAACCTTCTAACCTGAGTGTGAACTGGGTAAGATAAAATCGGGCCGGGACCAGAGACACAGAGGGACTGGCGTGATCCCCCTCTGTGGGGAGTGAGGGGAAAGAGAGAGGCCGAAACTGCTCAAGACACAGTCCCTGTCGCTGGGGAACAGACAAACCTCCGCTCGGGACACAGAGGGACCCGGTCTCCGGCTCTCCAGCTGACCCTAAGTGGGATTCACTTGTCCTAAATAATCTCCTGGAAAACAAGTCCCTGCGCGCCAACTCCCTGCGCGCTAACTCCCCGTGCACCAACTCAACCTGGAGGGGCTGAGCAGCTACCGCACCTTTGTGCTTCTGGCTGGGCTGGATCCCTATAGGGGAGGTGAAGGGCTTAAAACTGGAAGATTGCCCGCAAGTTCATGTTTCGGGCGACGAGACACAGAGGGACCTGGATTCCTGCTTTCCAGCTGACCCTGGGCTGGACACACTCATCCTAGGCGACCTCCGTCCTTGCTCGCCAACCCGACCTGGAGGAGACAGGAGCAGCAGCTTCTGGCTCAATCCCCAAGGGGTAGGCAAGAGGCTTGGAATTGCCCTGAGGGGCTCGCCTGTGAGTTTGTGTCTACAGCAATTTCAGTGGGGCACGCGGACTGGGATTTGGAAACGAGGCCTGGCTTGGGATATAGAGCGCGACCCACCTTGGCTGCACCCCCAGCACGGGGAGTTTACACATTCAAAAAAGTGAGTTGCCAAACTTGGTTCAAGAAGGGACTGGAGCACCACCACTCTTCTCCCCACAACCGCCAAGGCAGAACCCCCGCCTGACGCTTTGG